TCTTGAACTAGGGGTTTTCTACTGCTCGATTCATGTACTTCGCTCGCATTTCTAAATCCCTTATGCTGGAATCCTCTTTCGGTTAGAACTTCACACGATTGTCTTTCGCTTTTGTAACTTTGTTTACTCTCTTTCCCCTTCATTAAACCTAGCTCAATGGGCTCATTAGTGTCCTGTACATCATACGGTGAAATGTATTTTCCTAGCCCCTTACTCTCTGAGATACTACCCTCGTTTTCCTGGAATATTTCATAGGAGACCACCGCCATATTAGCTTCCATTTCTGCTTCTGCTAATTCCCTTTTCCTCCTAACTTCCTGTTCCTGGATCTCAAATTGTTGCCGAATCTTCAACTGCTCTACCTTCATACGCGCTAGCGCCATTTCTTCCCTTTTTCTTACAATCGACGATGCCTTCGAACTGGAGGCCTCGCTTCTCATGCTCTTGGAATGTTTAGATTTAGCGCTTCTACTTCCGGTTTCATCATGCAATTCTATTTTCGCCTTCTGACGCCATTCTGTTACCATGGCATCGAGATTCAATTTGCGTTTTCTTTGCTCTACGTAGCTAACACAAGCACTTTCTTTCTCAGTCTCATGCTCTATTAAAACGAGATATTTCTCATGTACCCCGACAAATTCGCACCAAGCTTGGTCAAATTTATTCAATTTCAACGAAATGTCCCCCACATTACACTTATTGTAAGCAATCATATCGGAAATTTCTTTATAAACTTTCGTAATTACGCCAATATAACCCGCACGACTTTTCGCTAGTTGGTATATTTTCTCAGATTTATATCCCAAATCACTCGCCTGATCGTTAGGTCTAGGAACTCTTGTACTAGCCTCCTCCGCAGGCATCTCACCCGACGAATCGGGTGGTGGGAAAAAGTTTGGTGAGATGCCTGCCATAATTCGACACAAAAATTTGCACTGCGCATTCCGGCTCGCGCATGTAAATTTCGACAAACTCAAACTTAGGGGGAGTAGGAAGGGCTTACGGCAAGGAGTGAAGAAAATTTTGTTTTCAACACGATGGCTTACAAGACGAGTAAAACTGTAAAATTAACGAATAATCCTGCTCTTCAACATTGCAAATACAAAGGGAACTTTGACTAAGGAGCTGAGAACGTTATCGAAAGCCGACTCAGAGATTTACTGGCCAATACTGGGATTGTTTTATAGAGATAAACGAGTGACTTTGCAGAGCAGTGAATTCACAATGTCGTCGATTCATGTCAAGACATTTGTCAAAACAAGGTTTCAATTGAAAGTTTATCGTTGATATATACAAATTTCTATTCAAATTGTTGACGAGATTTTATATCATAATAACCTGAAAGTGCAAGTGATTTAGTCGAAATTGTAACACGAAAAGGAACGATCGAAAATTGTCAATATATAAATGTAAATTCAACTGTTGACATCTGTGACTCTTCCTGTGTATTAAATTATTTAAATATATAAACACCTCTTGCCTTGTTTTAATACGCTTGTATGGAAGGAAATCATTAATAAAAGTCTTAAACAAATAGCTTTCTTATTGTGGAATACACTGTGCAATTTATCCCTTGGACAAAGACAAAGTTTTCAAACTATAATTACTATAGTGTCTCAGATGTGGCAAAAATTAGCAAAAGCTTTCCGAGTTAAATCAGTGGCCCTGTTTTATATATGGGTGTGAGTAATGTAGACATAAGGGAAAGGACAACTGGAATTTAATAAGAATCTAATAGTTTTCCATGTGGTGCAACATGTATGAAGACCTGTTTTAATAACATTTGCCTTGGATTTGTTAATTAACCAATGGAGGCATTACATACATTCCATTTTGCTTGCCAAAGTTCACAGACAAAATATTTACATGGGTAAAATCCATTTTGCAAAGCAAATTTCCCTATAACCATACAAACAGTCACTGAGGAAACTTCCCAGTGATAGACGTGTTTTCAGGGATGGATCCAGCATGATCTGGTAGGGGGTGCTCTGCCAGCTGTGGTGTCGAGTTGTGTCATCATGTGTGCAGCCCGCCATTAACATACAGCAACAGCAGTATTCTGAGAATTTGGCAAAACAACCTCCATGTGGTACAAGTGTACATGAAAAATAGCACACACATACCCCCTGGCCAGGGCTAGGGAGGGGGGTGTGCTCCCCCCAGTAAATCCATCCCTGCATGTTTTGCTATTAATTGTTACATTAACCACCCAAAAGTCTTTCAATGGTGGGTACATATTAATTGTAAGCTGTGAAGCTTTAGATTAGCCCATTGTTTGCACTCTCCCCTGGAATAGTAAAATTGTCTGATGTTAGACAGAGTAAAAGCAGGGGCGTGCCGGCAAGCGATGAGACAACAAGAACTTGTTGTGGGCCCCTGGAATTGTAGGCTCTTACATGATTCATGCCGATCTAGATTTATTATATTTAAAACAAATATATGTCAAGAGCAATTTTATTTAAACATGAACAAGTGAGATACATATAATTAGAGAATATGCAGATACATCATAAAATTTCTTTATTTATCAAATCATGGATGTCATGTGGCCAGTACGTGTAACACAACTAGGCATATACTATATTAGAAAGAGGTTGTTACATGTGTCACAATGCAACTTATTAATGGGTTTAGCATATTCACATGATATTAATTAAGGGGGTGAGTTCCAATTAACTATTTAACCAAGTGAAGCCTGGTTCACATATACCTGCTGTTTGTTGATGGGCTATTGTCGTTAAAAGTTCAACTAAATAATTCACAAAAGAATGTATGCATCAACAGCTGTAAACAATGATAATGCAGGCATATGTAAACCAGACTGAAGATGCCAACAAAATCTTGATTTTTGTAGGCTTTTGTTGTAATCAAATTTCTGTAGTTGATATTTCCAAGTTGTTATCTCTCCTCACTTATTGAAATGGTTGCTTCAACAGAAAGATCTTTTCCTTTTATATCAATTCACATAACATGTTGCCAAATGTCTGATGATTTGACTAAAATTAGTAAAATATAATCAAAATGTCAACCCCTTCATATAAATAAACATGCCAAAATAATATTCCAGAAAACAATACAATTTAATATAATTCCTTTATTAAACAAATTATACCTTTCGTATCGTTCCATTCTTCGTTTTGCGTTCGAAATTATGCCAGATAATTTCCTCAAATTGTAGTTCCTCGGCTGAACAATTGATACATTGTAAACATAATTTTGGCTGGTTCGAGCGAGCGATTCAATTAAATTTGCACGTCGTTTTTAGACCGCGAGAGACATTGCGATATATAATCCTTTCAATTGACCAACTAATTTTCGTATAACTTGAATATTTCGATGCATTTTAAAACATTTTAAAATAATACTCGCAAGCTTCGCTCCTCGCCTGAAGATTTCAAACTGAATATATAATTAGGGTCAAAAGCCTACTTAGGGGGTGGGGTACATTGACACGGCCACAAGGTACATTGACACGTCCATTTTGTTCGATTTATGGCAGGCCTCTCTCCCAGAAAATTTTTTTTTCAAACCCATTCGCAGGCTAGAACCCATAGAGAGGCCTGCGGAGGAGGCTATGCGGACATGTTCATGAGAATATAATTTTTTTGTGTAACGAAATTTACAACACTTGTCAATCATATTGCATATGTGTCTAAAAATAACATGTGGGCGTCTCACGGTCTAGACAGGTTTTGTGTCAGGCCCTATTTCAAATTAGGGCCTGAACTTCAGGTTATGTTACACGCTGCAATGATTTTCATGCAACTCGCAACGATAGGGGACAGAGGCATGCGAAGAGACTAGGGAGAGGTGCTATTTGGCGCCAAATTGTAATTAAAATAAAGCTTGTACTGGCGAGAGCCAATAGGAACTCTCCAAGCTATAAACATTGCGAGACAAGTTGCACGAAGCCATGTTACACGCTGCAATGCTAAAAATAATTAGTGCAATCGTTGCCAAAAGTAGAACCGACTTCTATTCTGTGCAATGCTTCATGCAACTTGTCTCGCAAAGATTTTGACCATTGCAAGGCATGTTAAACGGTGCAATGACTCGTGCAACTTGTCTCGCAACGCCATTGCGAGACAAGTTGCATGAAAAATTGCACCGTGTAACACGGCCTTTAATCTGTTGTTGTTAGGCACAAATATTTTGCTCCTTGTAATCGCACTCTTGTGTTCAGCGTAGTGCTTCTAGCATTCAAATTATAACAATAAGGTTAATTTCTAAAACGGGTCTCCCTTTTTTTGATACACATGAACAAGGTGTAAAAAAAGGATGGTTTTCCAACTTTGGCATTTATATTATATTAGTACGTTTATCTATTCACTTTTTTCATAGTCCAATTTTCAGACATTTGCCCATTACGAGTTGAGTCTGCAAACTTGCAGTTGTGTAAAATGTTTTAACCACTCAATTTCGATGCAAAATTGCGAGTACTAGTGGAAATTTACAAAAGCTTGACGCTTGCCAACGCATGTATTACACCATCTGTATTCGAAGGATTAAATTTGAATCTCAAATGAGAATAATTTCAATGCTCAGACAATAACTTTACATGTAATTCTCAAATTCAATAATTCATGAGCAGTTGTTTTACATTTTGATACATTGTGATACATTGTTTTCTCGTGTTTGGATGGCCCGGTGAAACACTCGCTCTCGTTGTTCATATATTACTTCCTAAACGGTGGGGAAATGTGATTTCGACTGGCATTTTTAAATCGGATTGTATACATTATTTGGCTATTTTAGATCGCAATGATACAAGAAAACTGAGTACCATTCGACAGGTAAAAATCTGATCTTTGTTGGTACCACTTTAATTCAGATCCGTATTTGGTCATTTTTATCGCGATGATTCCGTGAAGGTCAGTCAGTCATTTGACAATTAAAAACCTGATCTTTATAAATACCGAAAACAGAAAACCTATAAACGTAATAATTAACACACGATAATTTGTCAAAGTTTGATTACTTTTTTATACACCATGAAAACACGCAGTATGTTACATAATAAGAAGATAATTCAAAATAAGAAATATTGAAAGTAGAAGCAAGAGAACACTATGAAAATACATATCAGGTTTTAGGCAGGTAGATAATATTGATTGATTTTAGATAATTCTTTATATCATGCGAAAACCGAATTCAATAATTGTTTTATTATTTATTTAAAAGGTGAAACAGAGATTTGTGTTTTGATACAATACTAGATTCCCCTTATTACGTTTTCGTAGTGCTTCGCATTGTGGTTATAGTGGTATCACTGATATTCAAGATGGCAAATTTTTTGTCCTGGCCCGTGCAAGAACTTTTAAAAAAAGCTAAGGTCAGGTGCGCAATAGCCAACAGCAAAATATTCGCGAAAACATTCAATATTTTCATTCGAGGCCGCTATCTTTATCAGTGATACCACTATAACCACAATGCAAAGCGCTACGAAAACATAATAAGGGGAATCTAGTATTCCTCACTCCTTCGGTACTCATGACGTCATAGCATTGTATATTATTTTTATCAGCTTTATGACGTCACTCTATTGAATTGAATATTATGTCAAAAATCCATATTTGGTCAGCTACTGAGATGATATGACAATTCTACAGTTGGTTGGCATTGCTTATTGTACATAACCGCATGTGAATAGGAAAACTATAGCTGTAAGTTTAAATTGGAAGTAAACATTAAAACTGCGGAAATTTCCATTCAATATCGTTTGCAACTCCGAGAAGCAACCTGTGCTCAGATTCCAGCCGTTGGGTCGGCGAGGAACCCAACGGCTGAAATCTGAGCGTAGAAGCAATCCAGCTCAGAATAATCCCGATATGCAATTGGAAATGTGCACGTCCTCGACAAATCAATACTAGACAGATTTAGACTCCATTTCAGCTCGGTCTCAGCACACCCTTTCGATAATTACGTCACACATACTTTTTGGTGTTGGAGCCTCGCCCTCATTAGTAAATTACGCAAGGTGATTGGCTCACGATTCATGAGAGTGAGGCTCCTAGGCCAAATTACGTAATTATCGAAAGGGTATATTTCAGCTCAAGATTGAGAGCTAACCTTAGCTCCCTATAGCCTATAAGGCCAAATAAAAATAATGGTTGCTTTCAGGTTTCACAGCCATGTTTTATATGGGTAGGTAGGTCGGAAAAACATTTTATTTAAAAAAAAATTTTTATCTCAAGTATGCAATAAATATAAGTTAAAACTCATTATAAACTCTTAGTTTTTATTGTTTTTTTACATGTGTTTCACAAAGTACATGCAAGCTACATGTGTTTCGCTAGAAACAAACGCATCAAGGCATTTTCATATTTTTTCAGCCGTAGTTCCCATGTCAGAATACTGAGAATAATGTACGTTTTTAATATTTTATTCAACTGTTCTTTGTGTAAAACTATGATTAACATGACTAGATAATGATTAGATTATAAGCAAACAAAATAATTTGTAGTCAAATGAGTCTGATAACTATTTATATATTCTGCTAATTACGAAAAGATGATCACTACTGGGAAATGTCAATAAAATGTTTATGGTCGGTCATATTTTTGACAGGTCGGTCGGAAACCTGAAACCAACTATTATTTTTATTTGGCCTAAGGAGCTTGATTACTGTAATAAATTGAAGCTTTTTAAAATAACCTTGCAAACGCGACTAATTTCGACTATAGAAAAACAATCTGCAGGGTGTCTGCTATGTGACAGATTTTATCAGGGTTGTCCACGGGCCTTGAAAATCCTGGAAAGTCCTTGAATTGGAAAAACAAAATTCCAGTCTGGAAAGTCCTTGAAAATCAGTAGAAGTCCTTGAAAGTCCTGGAATTAATTTCCTTCACTAGTCCAGCTGTGCCAACATTAGTGATTTCGATTAAAATTACTGAATAAAGTGAATTATTTGCTGGGCAAATCCGTGCCATTCTCAAAGATTTTTCCCTGTTCTACAATCTTGGACATAACTGGTTGAGACTATTTTCCCCCTATAGAAAATTCGCGCATTTTTATGATAAACTCCATGTTGAATCATGTTGCCATTCTTAAACCCTCGCTCCCCCAACTCAATGTTGAGCTTGTATCATGGTATATCACCAAAAGTTGTTTCGGCGTTGTTCACAACATTGAACTGGGGGGGAGGGGGAGACAAAGTTTGTTTTGTCAATGTTCAATAACTTTGTGATATTAGCTGGAATGCAGGTCTCAAGGGTTTTGTCCAAGATTGTAGGTCCTTGAATTTATTGGAAAAGGGTCTTGAAAGTCCTGGAAAACTCCTTGAATTTTACCTTCACCAAAGTGTGGACACCCTGTTTTATGTAATTCCTTCAACGTCGCAACATATGTCAAGCGTTCACGTTGCTCCAACGACTTGAAAATCTTGTCCGTTTAACGTCATTGTTTTTCCTTTGCACGAAGAATGTCGTCGTTTTCGAATTTCAGGCTTTCAGTTCTCGTCGGGTTTTCTAAATCAGTCTAATATACAATGAACAACAAGTAAAAATAAGGAATAATTGTGGTTTATATATACCATGCAGAGTATACCATGTATTTAATTTTATTCTGAGCTTTCGGCCCGTGTACTCGGCCGCGTCTTCACTAGAGAAAAAATGAACATTAGAATTAAATACATGGTGTAACTACAAATTGTTCCTTATGTTTACTATGAACGCCATGCAAAGCTTTAACGAACAACGAGTAATTAAGATTACGATTAAGCTTAAATTTAGCTACGCAAGAAGTAGTTTTGAAAAGTTCATGATCACTTTAATGGTTTAACGATTCGATACAATACGGACGCGGCAAATGTAGTCTTGATGAGAACATTCGTATTCTTCATGAGTAATTGAAAAACAAATGAATGATCAGTATTTGCCATTAAACCAGTTTCATATTATTCTGACACTGCAACCGACCAACGAAAAATTCGTTGGCTCGAGCGGGATTTGAACTCGCATCTTCCTGTTCATTTTGGTAGCGAATCTTAACTATTTCGTGCACTTAAATTGGATAAGACTCGCTACCAATCCTCGATAGCTCATTCAGACTAGTCCTAAGTCCTCTGTTCTCTGTGCACGCTTTTGATTTCCGTGAGGCCTAGGGACTAGGCTGTAGCCATTGAACTATAAATAAACTGGAAGGCTAACTCAGGGGGGGGAATTGAAGCCAGTGCATTTTAGTTTTTCTGAGTTATGAGCAGAAATACTAAACACTGAACGTTGGGCTATATATCAAATTGAAGCTATTGAAAAACGCTATTTGGTGTAGAAATTTCAAGACTATAGCTAAAAGGGAAATATTGAAAAACTACAAACATAATTACCGATAATTTGCCGTTTTGCAGTTGTTTTTGTATTTTTTAAATAGTTTTCTTTTCGCTGAAGTCTTGAAATTTCCACAGCGAATAGCAATTTTCAATAGCTTCAATTTGATATATTGCCCGACGTTTGGGGTCAAGTATTTCTGCTCATAACTCAGAAAAACTATTTTGGCTTCATCAAATCATAGGCCTTCATCATAGCAGTTAGCCTTCCAGTTTATTTATAGTTCAATGGCTGTATCTCATTGGGTAGAGCGGCGGTCCAGGTACCCGAATTCAAATCCCGAGTTCAAATCCTGCTCGAGCCAACGAATTTTTCGTTGACGTTGGTCTATTGCAGTGTCAGAAATATGTGTATGAAACTGGTTTTTCGTATCTCTGAGGATGGTTTTGAAATATTTGCCATTTGGTGTGAAAATTGAACAACTTGAAGTTTATGTAAATCAGCATGATTTTTGTATCGGATACACAAACACCTTCACGGTCATGAGTTCTTTTGTGTTTTCTCATGATGAATTATTAAATGAGTTTCACAACGAGGAATCCGACGTATTCTGTCACGAAAGTGATATAGGTACATCGTACTTGCATGCGAAATGAACATCATCTTTCACAATAATATATATATAATATAGATATTTTTCCTGTGGTAGTGTTATGTACTCAGTGAATATGATGTTTGTGATGTTTACAAGATTGCATTGATATCGAAGGAACTAGACTCAGTTCCGAGATATCACATACGAGATATCACATGCAGTTGGAGAGCATTGGGCTAGTTTTCCAAAGGTCGTAGATTCGATTCCCACCGTGGCCAGGCATATTTGTCAAGCTTGCCCGCGGTGTGGATATACACTCAGAGTAACATCACAAACATAATATATAGATACTCAAAACTCAAATACTGCTTTAGTGGAAAACTTTGACACAACAAATATGTGGTAACTGTTGACAACAGAAAACATTTATTGTATTCGGAGATTTTTGTTTAAGAGCATTAACCCACATTAATTAGTTTGACGTAATGTTTCTGAGTGTTTGATCGAAACAAACTTTGCATGCTTTATATTGCACAGGGATATCTGTTCTCCCTATAGCCTATACAGGTCCAGCAATGTCAAGGACCTTCCTCTATTGGTCTATACATTGCATCGTCCGCGGTGATATTACACAAGGAAACTTACATTGCCCACTTGTTATATATATACACATTTCCCACGACCTCTCGACAAATATCTGAAATATTTTTCCAGAAATGAAAGAGAAACAATTCGGTTTGAAACGAAGTACTTAAAAAGTTCCTTTGCATGTGAAAAAATTGCGATCAACTTGACATCGTGTAACACCGGCCGGCTTCGTCGGAATTTAAAGTTAGTCACGTATATATAGTCGGGAAATTTACATGTGCATTTATAGCCTTTATATATAATATATGCATGGCACCTATATCATTGCGTCTTTGACTTTGTCTAATTGCCCCCGCGGAAATCGCATTTCTATAGTGCTTCTGTCTTGCCCTACATTTTTGCATGATTTCGTTGGGACAATCAACAGCTAGTTTTTCATGTGTGGGAAGCAGTGACTTAATTTACGTACGGAAATTAAGCCCTGTACAGGCGGGCAATTTTTCCTAGACAACTTTTCCTTGACAACTACTGAAATGGTTGTATTCGTTCGTAAGTACGCGGCAAAAACATGACAATTTTTCCTATTATTCTTTCGACGCAAGAAAGAAAATATGATCATGGAACGCAAACGTTCAACGAAAATTTTGCCAAGAAAGTTCGAACCATGCCGTTCGCCGTTCCCGGAAACGTGAAGCTTCAATTCCCTAACATTCCGTATACACGAGCAACAAAATTTGTCAAGCGATACTCAGTCAAGAAAACTTGTTGATCGCATATACACGAGCAGGAGCGTAGGAACCGGGGGGGGGGCACGTGTCCCCCCAATTTTTTCAAAGGACTAAAAGTGCCCTTTTTTGTGATGAAAAGTGCCCTTTTGGTACAAACTAATGGCGCTGTTAATGTGCAATTACCCTCCCCCCCCCGTCGCCAACATTTCCGGAAAAATTTTTTTGGTGCCCTTTTCAATATC